AAAATATCTCCATAATGCACTAATAACAACTTCCAGCTAAACTGCAACAATTAATAACATAATTAGTGTAAATATATATGAAATAGAATTTAAATGTATAAATATAAGTTATAAAATATATTAAAATATGAGCTTATCATGGTGATAGTGAAGAAAGCATTAATGGAGGGAAAAGTTCAGGAATTTGAACCTAGCACTGGAAGTGTGATGTATCTTCCCTTGGAATTTTCGAGAGTGAGCAACAACCTTTCAATGCAATTAATAGATATAAAAAAAGGATGATGTGTATAATATGATGTGATATAAGGCAAAACATAAGAATGTGGAGTTTACTGCAATGTTATTTAACTCATCTAGTTTAAAGATAGAAAATGTATGCTTCATATGGAAGAGAAAGAAAATGTGCAATGTTGGAAGGAGTTTCATAAACAAACTGGAAATCGGTAGTTCACAAAGAGTTTGATTGAGTATCAGGTCTATTAAATCTTTGAGGCTTTAAGAAATTTTAGGAACATAAGTATTGGTAAGAGAATTTTGGGGATGAAATTTCTAAAAGGGTGGAAGAAGTGTAACACCCTCAATTTTGTTGCCCTTGTGTAGAAAAAAATAGGAATTCTGGTGCAGAGATTTCTCGCTCAAACGAGATGGAGTTTTCTCAAGGATGGCGCTCTAGAGCTTTCTCGCTCAAGTGAGAAAGGGTAAGGTTGACCTAACTGTCCTCTCGCTCAGGTAAGAGAAAATCTTGCTCAAGCGAGAAGTGGCTCGTTCAAGCGACATGGAGCTCACCCAGGCAAGGAGTCATAGGAAAACAGGGAGGTCTCTAAATTCAATTTTGCTCAAGAAAGATAGAGCTTACTCAAGTGAGATCGTATCTTGCTCAAGTGAGAGTGTCCTTGCTCAATGAGCATAGCAGAAAAATGAGTAATCTCACTATCTGGTTGTCTCGCTCAGGCGAGGTTAGAGCTCGCCTAAGCTAGAATCTGGTCACTCAAGTGAGATCGTGCGAGTTTGGAAGGGTATTTAAGGAACTCCAGTCCTGAAAAACATTCATTTCTCACCAAACAACCTTCTTTCCTCGTCTTTTCTGTTCTCTTTCTTTTCCCTCTCAAGGGAAAACTCTTCCAAACTTTGAATCTCTTCTAAATCTGAGCTCAAACGTGTATACCACTTAGAACAAAGTAAGTTTCCTGAAGCTCAAATTTTTAGTTTTATCTATTTTCTTCGATTTTCTCTTTCTCAATAGCTGTTTACGTTATAATATTTAGGAAGATCTTTACATTATGGACAAAACTTTTTATTTTGGACGAGTTTTACCTTTCCTCTAGATCTCTAGAAGAATTTAATAGTAGACTCTCATTTTCAGGTAAGGGGAGTAGATCTCGAACTCTAACTCTTATTTTATGTCTTGGCTTAGAAACTTTAATACTTTTGTGCTAAATAGTAAAGCCTTTATTAACTGGGATCCTTGGAACATAAAAGCATGATGATTTATTTTTTAGCACACTAGCTAGGATTTTGTAACAGAAATTAGAAGTAAAACAAGTTTTTTTAAGAATGTTTATGACTTTGATGTTAACATGTTCCTATAATTATTGCCAAGTTATGATTTTGAATAATAGATGATAAAAAAGTGTTGAACCCCAGGATAGACAATTTTATAAAAGACTAAGAGAGCGTAATCTCTGACAAATTTTCCTCCGTGATTTAGCTTAATCTGTGTTAAAATGCACGACTGGTTTGAGCCCGAGGGTGATCGACTTTCGACACATTTTTTTATTCATGTGAAATAGGTGGATTGATGATCAATATTGAAATTTTGTATTGTAATGAATATGAATTCGTGTTTGATAACTAATGAATGTGAAAGTTGGTGAAATTGTGTTCTCATGGAAGGTATTTGATTTTTTTTACTAATAATGTTTTATTAGTAAGAATTCAAGAATAAAAAGGGGTGACATGAATAAGTGAGCATGTTAAATTAAAGTTATTTGTGTAATCAAAGTAAAAAAAAAAAAAGGAAATGTTCATGAATTATGAGAAATATGAAATGCTGAAATGATGATGAGATATGTGTTATATGAAATGATGAAGTGTTGATAAATGAATTGCAATGAGAAAGACTAAGAAATTGAATGTATATGAAATATTGAGAAAGAAAGGGTCATGAGAAATGTTGAGACCCTGTATAGATAGTTACAGAGATACACTGGGGGGTATAGAGTTCGGAGAAGATTTGGAAAATCTTGGAGAAATAAGGGTGGTGAATGCTAATTGTAAGAGAGTGCATAATGATTTGCTGAAAGGAAAGCATTCACAGGCCACACACTCATCTCCTAACGAGACTCCTAACTATACCTTTGCTAAAAGGGCTGGGAGAACACACATTATATTTGTGTTGTTACAGCTAACCAGCAGCTATCTATACGTATAAGACCTCAAGGGATCCCAAAGGCAATGAATGTGAATGTGTGAAATGTGTGTTTATAATAGGTGAATCATGATGGATTAATCAGTGTAATTATAATATAGATATTGTAATACATTGACAGGTGTAATTATAATGCATGTGTTATAATGCATTAATTAATATGGTTGTAATGCACTTATTATAACATATTGCTATGTATGAAATGAATGAAGTGGTGTAGAAATTATAAATATTCGATGTAATGGTGATGTGATATGATAATCTGTGGAATGTATGTTAATGAAAAAGTTTAGATTGATATTATGTCGGTGTTTGATTTAAAGTATAATTAATCTGATAGGAGTAGTTTCACTATTTAGTTGTCTCGCTTAGGTGAGGAAGTCTCGTCTAGGCGGGGTTAGAGCTCGTCCAAGCGAGAATTTGTTCGCTCAAGTGAGAATGTGTGAGCTTAGAGGGGTATTTAAGGAATTCCAACTCTCAAAACCTTCATTTCTCACCAGACAGCCTTCTCTCTTTGTTTTTCTTTGTTTTCTCTCTATTCTCTCTCAAGAAAAGCTTTTCCGAACTCTGAATTTCTTCAGCATCTACTTCATTCGAAACTAAGTAAGTTTCTCGGAGCTTAAATCTCCATCTTTATCCCTTTTCTTCAGTTATCTTTTTCTCAATAGGCGTTTCTTGTAATATTTAGGAGATCTCTATATTTCAGACAAAATCTTCTATCAGAAGTGTTGTACTTTACTAATAATCCTATATTTAATAATTGAAAAATAATCCTTGTGGGACGATAATTCAGAAACTTAATTTAAGAACCTTTTATTACTTCTCAATGGGTATACTTGCCCACCAAACACCTAACCCTTATGTCTTAACAACTACAAAAATATTAAAACTCACTTAAAGTCTGAGTGTAAGGCCAACATGTACATTTTGAACTACACTCTCAATTCATCTAAAAGAAGCATTAGGAACATAAGTGAAGTTATACAATTTTTCATGACAAACCAAAATAGAAACAACAAATTCAATTTAGTTTAATAGTCATCTTTGCATGATCCAAAACACTAATGTAGTAAAGTTTGTTGTCATGACATTCTATCCTAATTCTTAGTTAGAAAAACATTATGTTTTAACTAAGAATATGTGTAACAAAAAATGTTAACAATTACACTACATCTCTATTTTAATGTCTAGGCAATGCAAAAAGTAGGGAAGACTTATTCCAAATCTAAACATTAAGCTAATATATTTATTGTGAGTAATGATACAGTCATACAAGTGACCTAAATGAGTTGAAGCATTAAGAATAGGAACATTCATTTGCAAAGTGTTAGAAAATTTAAATCAAATTAACTGCAAAAAAATTACACAAAGTTTAACTTAACATTCATTCCACAACAATTTATAATAAACAAACAATAACACAACAACAATAAATATAATAAAAGAAAATTCTATAAAAAGTTTGAGAAAACACAAAAAAGTCTCCCATACCTCTAAGGATGAGAGGAATATTAAAATAAAACTATTTATATCTTACTATTATGCTATATATCTAAAAAATATCTCATGACATCTATTTATATACTTTTGAATAATGTTAGGCGTTGAAATGTTAGAATGTACATTGAAAAGCTTAAAAGAGCACCGGTAGTGATTGAAACATGCACGTTATTTAGATTATGTGAATAAATATTGGAATGTCCAATGAGTATTGGAATGCCTAACATCTTTTGTCTAACTTTTAGATTTTATATTTTATTGGCTCATTCAAAAGCATTTTTCATTTCAAATAGCCCTATAAAATTAAAAGGCGTGAATTAATTTAATTTATAATATTTTTTTAAAATCATAAAAAATTGATAACTTGAATAAAAATAATGACTTATTTTATAATTTTTAGACATTATTTTAAATAAAATTTAATAAATTAACCTACATTAAAATAAAGTTGAATATTAACTTAATTTTAACTGGAGGGAATTTTGCAATCACTAAGCCTAAAACATACTGAATTCAAATATCTTATTGCTGAAATCTCATTAAATCCTAATTTTGAAATAACTTGTTCGGAATTTAAGTGTATAGGATCTTGACTAACTAAGATTATGAATTAGTATTGATTATCAACTAATATTAAGTAAGATATAGTTTTCATAATTACATATTTGACTTGATGATGCCATTAATGTTTCTATATTTATAACTTAACTTATTTAATTTTCATTTTTTTTTTGTTTTAATTTTAGTTTTGATTCCTATAAACATGAGTCTCTTTTTTTTTTCTATAGAATTTTATTTGGTTTGTCTCTCAATAGAACATAAATTATATAAAGAGTTAGAAACAAATAAAATTTTTAAAAAAAGACGAAAAAATCATACTTTTAGAAATTCAAGTTATATTTAATTTATGTATTTTTCTGTAATTGCAGATTTTTATTATTTTAGGGGTAAAAATTTATGTAAAATCAAAATTGAATAAGAATTGTGATTCTCGTTCAATTTAACATCTTATAAGCAAATCACTTAATTATAATGTACATGATTACATGGAGAAAATGTAGACATGGCAGTTATTGATCGAATTGAAGCACAGTAATATACAACTTCAAACACATCAACGACATGAAACAAATACATAGAAACTTGGATAATTCATATCTACTTTTCAACACCTAAAACATCCCGAACAGGGACAAGCTATTTTTTTCTCACAACTAATCCTTGTCCATATTTAGATTCATAGGCACACCACATCAACCCTACAGAAAAAAGGTGTCTTATACAAACATGTATAGTTTTCATTTTACAATCACCCACTGTACACCCTGAGACGACTACTGATCCTCTCTCTGCATATGGGACAATTAGTTACCCTGTATCCACAGTCTCTGCAAGTCTGCATTCCAAAACATTGTTTAAAATAATCAAACTAACAACAATAAGCGAAATTAAACCATCAATTGAATGATGCTAACTCACCATGTGCCCACATCCAAAGGCTAAATCTCTTGGATTGGTCAAACAAATTGGGCAGACCTACATAATTCCATTGGTACCCCAAATAAATGATCAAGTAACTTCATAGTTGATAGAAAAAGCAAAGAATATAGTGAAGCACTTTAGGTTTCAATTGCACATACTGCTTGGTTTTGTTCATCTGCAGGGGATGCTGTTGTGTTGCTTGGTACACGAGCTGGAGGGGCTGCAGGCCGAGAATAAGGAACTGGAGGAGGTTTTGGAACTATTCTCTTCGCTCTTCCTGTTACGCGTCTGTTGTCCAAAGACAAATAACAAAATAAAATAAGTAACTCAAGGTTTGGTAAGTTATTGTTTTTGTAAAATTATTATTTCTTCAAATTAAGTTAAACATATCATAGACAAGCAAATTCTATCAAATCAATTGAAATACAATTACATTGTTTCAAATAAAACTGTCAGTCATAAGTATGTTATGATAATTATGTTTACTTATGCTACTATAATACTCTTCAATTTTCACTTAGTAAATAAAACTTATGCTAATATATAAAGAGAATACCCAAGTAATCCAAATTCTACGGTTGCTTTATATTGGAAGGGGATCTCCATGAGAGCAGCCAGAGCAAAAGCTGCTTCTTTCTCAGAGGAGCTTGTGTTTTTAGACATAATATCCGTGAAATTAACAAACTGCACAAAAGGAGAAATATGTATATATGATGCAATATGAGAATATGACAAAGTCATTGGCTGATAAAACAAATATGTTATGCCACTCAACTTTCTAGTACTATTTCTATACCTGAAAATTGTCATAATCACTTGCGGGTATCTTGTCATCAAACTTTCTCATGTCTTCCCAAGGTCCATCACCAACTCCAACCAGAACTATCGCAAGTGGATATGCACTGGTATCAGAAATTAAGAAATAAAATAGATATAAATGTTATTAAGCAATTTCTTCAAAATATAATATAAAAACAGAAAGATAGAAACATTGGAAATAAGACAATGATACTTCTATTGTAGCTAAGTCCAAGTTCAATGTCTTTCAAATAATTCCCTTTTCTTTTTCTCGTTTGGCATGGAGGGTTTTCACTTAAATCTGAACAAGCTAAAAAGCTAGAGGGTTGTTATATAATTATCACTTGGCCATATTTACCTTGCATCAACGATTGCTTTGATTGTCTTCTCTTCTTGAGGACTAAGTTCTCCGTCTTCAGTGTTGACACTTCTTGTAACCTTAAAATCAAACAAATTTGTGCCATTAAGATTTGAGAAACATTCATAAAAAATTTTATAGGAATAAGATTTGAGAAACATGCATACACAGCACAAGTAGAGGTAACACTTTATACCTGACCATCTGCAATGATAACTAACACATGGAATTGGCCACGATTTTTCTCAACTATGTCTATTGCAGCCTCAATCACAGGAGCATAAGAAGTTGGCCCTTCAAACAAAATGAAAATTTTCCTTCAGCCATGAATCTTAAGCGAAAAGCCTAGGCACACATGGATGTTTTCAACAACAAAACATTCCTCTAGAAATTACAGCATTTGAATTAAGTAATTAACTAATTGCAATAACTAAAATACTGCACGCAACATTGACAGTGACCTGAAAGTTTCAAGTTTGGAACAATTTTTTGGTAGCAAGCCAAAACTTCTTCAAAGCCATGACAAGGTGAATGATCACTGTGAAAGCTGAACACTTCTTGATCATGGGTTGTAGCTGTATAATGATAAAAGTTAAGTTAGATGTTAAATTGGAAATTATTTACCATTATATACATATGTTTTGCTTTAAGGATTAGGCCTTACCATCACCAAAGCCAAAGCATGGAATCAAGTTATCATCATCAAAGGGAGCCATAGTCTTGCCAATAATGGAGATGGCCTTCTCATAGGGGTTAGGTGTATCTCCAATAGCATGAAGGCTTTTCTTATTAAATGAGATTCTGCCTTCAATGAAAACATTGATGAATTGGTTTCATAGACGGAACAGTTAGAGAAATTATGACCAAAACCCACTTTTAGTATTTTATTGTCAAACTAGAAACCATCTTTGGCCAACTTTAATTCTCAATCACAGCTTCATAAATTGAGTTCATGTACTACCACATACCAGTCCATTCATTGCTCTTTGTGAAATCAACTCCAAGGATGAGATTTGATGACTCCAATCCTTCTTTCCTCAAGGCCGTTGTAACCTTTGTAAGATCAAAGGACAGCAAAAATTGCATTAAACACATTGCCAATAATATGGTAGTTTACAATTCATTATTGGATGATAACTACTTTTATCTGCCTGGTGAGATAAAAAAGTTCATATCTACCCATGATTTGAAGAATTAGTTTCACTATAAGAAATTTTGGAAGAACAAACATTTTATGTGGCAACCCTTTATTTTCCTTTCACTTAAGTGAACTTTTAAGTATTTAAAAACTTCAAACTATGGTTTAAGTAGGAATATTAGGAGGAATCCAATATTTTCTTCTTCGGATTTGAAGCCTAACAAACCATTATGCATTTTCTGAAAATAGTCTTTATATATTGAGATAAATTACTTTATTGCTAGCCAATATATGAACGCAGGGTTTGCTCAACAAGTTTCAATTCAACGGAAGCAACAGGTCTTAGTCACCCTCTCTGTTTCTGCCTCTGCTGAAGTGGTTTTGACTTTTGAGACATTAGGTGAAGGCCTCTACGATGGAAGAGAGTGACAGCAAAGTGGAATTAAAAACCTTGAAATTAATTGTTTTTGTATAATTTCTTTAAACATTTTGTTCCACTTGTTGAAAACAGAGAAATTGATATACTTGATTATTCAGTAATTACTCATAAAATATTTTAAATATTTATAATAATTATTTATGCTTGTATTTTACATTTAATATTTTAAAGTTTTAAGGAGTTGTGTTGATTAAAATATGTATCAAGAGATGTCTTGTGTATCAATAACAGTTTTAAAGAAAATTTGAGTATTTTTTTTCTTTCCTTTTCTATTTTTTTCTCTTATTCTCTTCATTACCCCCTTTCCATATTATTTTAGTATGGATGTAAATGAGTTAAATAATTTACAAATTATTTGAGCTTGATTTTGATTTCTTAAATTCCCGTTCAAGCTTTTTTAAGCTAAATAAACAAGCTCAAGTTTAAAATTATATTAGATTATTTAAATAAGTCAAGTTTAAATTTTATATAAAATTAACATAAATGGTTGATGAATATTTTGCACACACTTAGATAATTTCAAATGCAACAGTTATATTTTAAATAAAGGACTATTAATTTTTCAAAAAATATCTATCATTTACAAAATCAAAGATTTTATTTCCAATCTTAAAGCACCTTCATCTAAATATATTTTTATTTTACCTTTTAGCATAAAAACATGAATTAAATATAAATTTAATAAATAAAATTTTAATTAAAGTTTATCAAATAAGAAATAAATAAAGCACAAACAAAATAACGAGTTAAGTTCAAATTTCAAAAATTTTAATCAAGTCAAACTCAACGTTATATTTAGATGATTTAAATAAATAATTTCATTACATATTTTTACATTAAATTTAAACTTTAAATACTTAATTCAATTTATTTACCTTACTAACTATTATTATCTCTTATTTGTCATATGATTCTAATTTCCTGAATTTTTTTCAGTTGCATTTTATTTATAATCATATTTTATTTCTCTCTGTTTTTTCTTTATCTTATGATCCATAATACTTTTTTCCTTTCTTTATTTCTGTACATTCATCTCACACCTTGTAATGGAGTGTGATAGAATCGTTGCTCCAAACCTTAGCATGCTTTATCAAAGTACCTTTGCATCACTAACTTTAGAAAATAAGATTTTGAAATTGTTTATATTTTATACTAATGATGATAAAGAGTAGAATGACGGTAGACAGAGAAGACAGCCAATATATATTATATAATGAGTTATATGATAAACAAATTTTTAAAAAATAATTAGTATAAAATTATATAAAAAATGTATAGTTATCTTCTTTCTTTTTATATTTTTTTCTGACAAATCAAAGGGCTTAGCCCCACATGGTGGTTTAAAAAGAAATACTTATGCCAAAGAGACGAAGCAAAGTCTCAGTTATGGCAAAGTTGACGAGTTGACTTGCACACAGTGTACCGTGTTGCCAGAAGTATAATGGAGGTTGACCACATGGTCTACGGTTAAATTACAGTTAAAATTACGGTTAAAATTTTACTTTCGTTAATGAGTAGTTGGCACTTCACATTTGAGAAATTTTAAGTTTCACTCAAAAAACAAAAATAAAAATAAAAATAAAAAAAATTATCGATATCACTTTTGTCAATGTACTCTCGTAGACTTTAGTTACATTAAAAAGAAATGTGTGTATAATAATAAAAAGATATCACAAAATTCATTACTTCAAAATATAATAATTTATTTATATCTTGAAAGAATTTAACAAAACCGATAATCTTATTTTTATACAATAAAATATTTATAAACAAGAATAACATTAAAAATTTACTACTCTAATTATTATATCAACTTTAAATTTTAATTCAATTGACTAATTATTTAGGTTTTTAGCTAGCATAATCGTGAAAAGATTAAATTAATGGAGAGAGACGAAGGGGGAAAGAAAAGGAGTTAAAACCTTCCACGTATCTAATTAAATGAGGTATACAAGTAGTGATCATACGTAAGAATCGTTTATTTAGTTTTCTTTTCATATATATTAGATGTTTAAAGAAATAAATATAAATTATACTTATCAACCATGCATGAGTTGCTGTCGTTACGCATGGGGCTAGACTTGGAAACTTATCAAAAAACAAATTCCAAGGACGCATTTGAATGGAGAATTACCAGTGAGACTCTAATAGAAAAATGAAAATGACCAGTGACCTATGGGAAAAGCTGCAACTACACGTTAAAATTGCTCAACCTTTTGTTGCTTGCATCATTAATAATTTTTAAAATTAATGTTTTAATGGATTAAAATTAGATTTTATTAGGTAAAATATTTATATTTAATATTATACTAAATTATTACAGTAAAATTATAAATTTGATTAATAAATAATGAATAGTAATAAGAGTTAAATATTTGTACTTAAGTTTTGTTCTTCTAAATAATTGCAACAATGTCTTTCACATTCGAGTGATTATTGTCAAAATAATTAACCCTGCAACAGCATTTCCATGCTAGTTTCTGGCTTCAGCTCCGTACTTGGCTTTATAAATTGGAAACAGAAATTTATAATTGTATATTACAAGCCACGTTCAAAAACCAAAGTTACCCCTATCTTTCTAAAAAAGGAAAGTATTTAAAATCTATTGTGCAAATTTTGACCCAAATTTTCTTTTCTAATTAACATTGTTCTTACACTCTAAAAGATGAAAAATGGAAAAAAAGAAAGAACCGACAAAAGAAGCATCAGCTAGAAGGTTCAAAACAGGGAAACTCATACTTATTCTTCAGGAAAATGTTTTGGGAGCAATATATTACTGTCCTTTGTCCTTTAGTCGATTTGTAAAATACATATAAAAAAATAACAATAATAATATTAATTATCATAGTTATTATACAATATCATAATATTAATTTTAGTTCTCAGTAGTCTCAACCAAAAAATCGCTTTCTAAAGTTTTGCGCAGCATCAATCTTTCAAAATATTTAAATATCAAATTACTATCTTAAAAAAGTATGAAATGTTATTATATTATTTTCTTAAAAAAATAATTATCGTTAAATTAATATACAACATTTTGTTTGCTAATTAATCACTCAAATATTTTTTTTTCCATTTTAATTATTTTCATAAATAAGCACGATGACCTTTAAAATCTTTAAAAGTGAATTTAATATTGAAAGTTTTGAGAAATTTTTTTAAGTTAATAAATTAATTTGATAATAAAATTTTTGAAAGAAAATATAATTTTGAAGGACTTGGAGTTGACTTCCCTCATCTTAGCATCCATTTATTTTACAATTCAGTATAATTGATTTTAATAAAATTCATTTTAAACTATTGATTATAATTAAAAATATATGACAAAATCCTCTTATGCATAAAATTTCATTAGAAAGTGAGACAAAGAATTGCTCAAATATAAATAAAAACGCACACTTAATCTTCTATGATGAAAGAAACATGCATACCTGTTCAAGGGTTGAGAAATGGTCAGGAATGAAAGCATACTTGTTGGCAGATTGCCTTTTGTTCATGTTTGATGAGCTCCGACCAGACTTAGCTCTCCCAAAACTTGATTTCTTGGATATGGATTTTGTTTTAGGTGGTGGCGGCGGAGGTGGAGGAGGTAGAGATACTAGACTTGGATACGATACTGAAGGTGGTGCCGATGACAATGGTGGCAGCGGCGGTGGCAAAGGTACCTGTGTTGAGAAATGAGATGATGATAAACCCCTGGTGGTAGTTATGGCAGTGTAGATTCCTCTATCTCTTCTTTTATCATTTTGAGTGCCATGCTTTTTATTTTTGCTGAAGAGGTTGCCCATGGCATCTTAAACAAGGTTCTACAAAATTGAAAGAGATATATGTGTATGTGATTTTATAGATGCAATAAATTAAAATATTTAGTGTATAAAGGAAACGGCGAAGAAGGTTCATAGAAAAAGGGAACAAATTTGAAAGAGGAGAATAAAGAAAAATAAACTTGGAATCGGATTCTTAGAGCTTTTATTTTGCTTGTGAGCTTTGGGCAAATGGATTCCTATTTTTGGCTTAATCCAGATGGCAAAACAAGTGACGTTCCACCTTCATCTCTAATCACATTGCGTGTTAAAGGGTGATACGCATAAAACCAAATTCAAGTATATAATGCTTCTATTTAAAAAACAATTTAATTTTCTGTTGTTTTAAAAAATAATTTAATTTTAATATATCGATAATAAGAAAATTATAGTATCATTCGATTATAAATTATTATAGCGGTGAGAATCGTTAATTTATATAATATAATGCTATCAATGTTCTATAAAACTCGAAAAACTTGGTTTGGACTACGAAGATGGGAAAAAACTAAACGGATGAGTAGGCCCTATATTCGTTGCAAACTCAACTTTAGGAACAGTACTATAAATATTAAAAATTACACTTTTATCTTAATAATTTATACATTAAAAATTATCAAAGATCAACGCATATTATTAAGATGAATTTTCAATTTTAAAGAGAATAATGCTAGAAAAAATTTGTCCTTCTTTTGTATTATCATTAGAATATTAAAATATTTTATATAAATTTTATTTTTACATTTAATAAAAATAGTGTATTGCTACTCTTTCACCAACAACTAAAATTACATATTTTTTGGTATTTTATAGAGAATAAAAATAACTGTTTAATTAAAGACAATAAAAAATTATAATTTTATACTAATGACAAATATTTAACTAAAAAACTGGATAAGTTTAATCAGAAAATACAAATTATGATAACTATTCACACAACATGATATTTTTTTTCTTTATTGTTGTTGTCATTTTCATCTTATTTTTATTTTATTTATTAAATATTATTATTATTTTAAAAAAACAAATTTAAAATAGGAAATAAAATAAAAATTAAAACATCATAATTTTTATTAAAAAAATTACAAAAGAATGATATAGATAAATATAAATTTTTTATGTTTACTTCTGCGTATTGGTTTGGACTAGTATGAGTATATATGAGTAAGTATATATTAGAGAGTTAATAATAAAATTAGTTTTAATACAGCCATGAAGAAAAAAAAAGATTAAATAATAAATTATTTAACCTGTGTACCTTTCACCTTAGTTAACCATAGTATCTAATAAAAACTCAAAATTATGATTTAAGTGTAAACTTTCATGGGTTTTTAAATATTTCCTTTCACATATTCCATAAATTTGCAAAATGTTAGATATATAGTAATCGGTGACACAAAAGTAATGTGATATTTTTGTTATTATATAAAAATAAAATTGAAAACAACAGTAAAAAAATAGTATTTATTAACAATTTAACGTTGGATTATCATTCGTTAATGTAATTTTTTGTTATAAAAATTGAATTAATAATAAAGACATTTTGAATTTTATTAACAATAGGTTAGATTTAAATATTGATACATGTTATCAATATACAAACATTAACATTAGTCTACTGGATTATTTATTAGACAAAGACTAGTTTAATACATGTTATTTTCACATTTGACAAAGAATATATATAACACATATATTTTATATATTAGATGCTAAATATATAAAAAAAAAATATGATATATAATTTGTAAAAAAATATTGATATATGTTAATTAAATATACAAACATTAGTCTATTGTATTATTTATTAGAAAAAAAATTATATCAACACATAGTATCTTAATATTTGACAATTTTTGTTTATATGTAAGTGACAAATATTTTGCAATGCAAAAAAAAAAAAAAATCATCAAATCTTTCTATGATCCAATTTTTAGATAAAATATCTTTTATGTGTTATAATTAAAATAACTATATAAAAGTTAAGAAATTTATTACATAAATTTGGTCATTATGAAAATATAAGTAGCTAAACCATCCTCTTATTCAAAATATCAACACTTCATGAGTTATTTCTCACTCTATTTTATATAAATATCAAGAGATATGAAATAAGAAATCTCAAGAGACAACTACAAATTACAGAAAAGAAAAAGCTATTTTTTCATATATGAAAAAATAAATTACAAATGAAAATATATATTTTAACTTTTCAGGGTTTGAAAACGTTTCATTCAATTGAAAAAATAAAATTAAAAACACTTTTATGACAGAGATTATTTTATTTTTACTTAGATATTTTTCACTAATAAAAAATTAAAGTTTTAATATTTCTGTAAAGATCTTTTATGTTTTAAAATAACTTATCATCTTTATTTTTTTGGTACATCGTTTATTTTTCCTAATTAAAAACACATGTTTTACTTAATTTTTTCTTTCAAAAAAGCAGCAACAATTAAGATTTAAACGACTCAAACTTCTAGAACATAAAAAAAAAAAATTTGCATTATTCAAAAAATTATACTATCGTTCTTCACCTATCGATACTAGTTTAGATGTTGATACGTGGAACATAAAAATTTGACGAATAAAATAAAAGAACAAAAATAAATAAATAATTTAATGAGTATCAGTTTAATAAAGGCGATAATTATCACGTGTCATATAGTGAGTTATATCGTCCTAATAGTGACAATAGTAATATGAAATGAACAGTTAGGAAAAAAACAGGATACATGTTCAAATCATAGGCAGTATTGGTTCTGACGCATTGACAGGTCTATCGAGGCATATGTGGCGAGACTACATTAGATCTTGACATGTGGCTTCTCAAAACGGACGTCGCGAAGGCCCTTCTTCTTCCCCTCCTCCTTCACTCTCTCCATTAATGTCGGCCAAAAGAATTTTGTGCATTGTTTCTGTGAAATTTGTCTGAACAATTTTTTTTATTTTGTAGTGTTATTGTGAGAGAAATCCAAAGATAAAATAAAATTTTGAAATAAATAAGTTTTATTTTAGGCAAAATTAGTCTTTTGGTCTTGTAACTCTAGGATAAAATTCACTTTTGTCCTATATCTTTTTTTTGTTCAATTTAGTTCTTTAAATTTTGTATTTTTCTCACGTTAGTCCTGTCTTTGACAACCGTTAGAGAACATAACAAAAGTATCCTATGTGACACTAATGACGTTTATTTAATCCTACCTGAAAATTGATTAAAGAATGTTATATTAAGTGTCTTCTTCTTCCATACAAGTTAGGGCATATGAATTAGGGCTTTGCGTATCTTGGAAACAGCAAAACAAAGGTTAGAGCTATGATGGACTCACAATCTTTGACGATGATGTCTGCTAACAGGGGTTAGTCATCCATTTTTTTACTATAGTGTGAAGAGTGTTTATCACATAACAACTACAACAACAAATATTGGAATGAGTTTTTGGGAATGTAGAAACTATGAGATAATTTTGTAAGATTAAATAACTGAATTTGATATTTGTGCATAAATATGTTCAACTAATTTGTGTTGCTAATCTATTGTATTATTTTTCAGTTTGATGAGTGTTGTGGGTTTTTCAAGTGGAGAGAAGACGATAAAGTTGAAGATAATGAAATTGTTGTACTGAGGCAAAGGAGAAGAATTATACATCTTTAGAACTACACAAAATTAGCAAAAATAAATAAATTAAGTTGTATTTTAAGTATTAGTGTGTTATTAATGTATTAGGAGTAATGTTATTGTTTAGCAGAAAACCACTTTTGTTTAAGGATGTAATTTATGTAAATGCACTATGAAAGAGTGCTTTGATTAAGTCATGGTCCTACTATTGTGTTATTGCCTTTTATGGATTCTTCTATCTCTAATGGAATAATATTTTCAGCACATGTATTATCTTAAAATATGAATGTTAGAATAAGAAATCTTCGCTGAGACTAAGAATAAAAATTGATTAACATATATTGTTATGATATTAATAAAAGAACAGAACAAGTCCCACATAATATGCTTTCCAACCAAACTGCACAAAACGTAAAGTAAAAAGCAAAAAAACACATTGTCTCTACATAATACATTTAATTATGTTGACATCTTCGAGTATATATCTTCCTTCTTGTTTGACCATCAATTGGAAATTGAGAAGTGCCTGAACTTTAAGTATGACTTGCTAATGCCTTTGTTCTAGCAGGTTGTGTTGCTTTGCAAATAGCTTTGTTATGACCACTTACTCCATATTTGTTGCATTTAACAGTCATTCTTTTCCTACTCAATTTGTTTATCTCAATAACCTTCTCAGATGCATATTTATTTCTTGACTTCTTTGGCCTCTCAGATTGTTTCTTGATTGGTGGGAGTAGAATGTCAGGGTAGTCAGTAGATTCCCACAAATTAGGTCCATTTGCTAGATATATGATAGACTTGTAAATTTTGCATAATGTTGTTTCTTATAATAAATAGGAATATAGTATATTGGAAGCAATTGAATGACCGCAAGGTATTCCAATAAGCATCCATATTCTGCAAGAACATTCTTTTAGTTCAAGATTCACCACAAACTTATCTCCCTTTAAATTAATATGTCAGACCTCGAATATATATTGTCCAAACTACCTTGCAAAAATGAAAAAAAAGTTTAAGCTAGAGTATGGGACTAAAATGAATCAATCTAAAATAGTTAAAAGACTAAAATGATTTATTTTAAATAATTTGAGGACTAAAATGAGCCTACTTTAAATCTTAGAGGACTAAAATGAACTGTATTAAAAAGTTAAAATATCATAAAAGTTATATCTTGGCAACCACTATCTTGATTCAGCTTGATATTTTTGTAGCCTTTTTTGTATATTTGGCAGTATGTCTCTTGTTAACAATGTTGCCTTTTTTTTTTCTATTGGTAGCCCACATTTCCATTAAATAAATCCTTATGTCTTTCATCATAGTAACAATGGGCTTTGTTCTAGGTTCTAGAATAACACTATTAAAGGTTTCAGACATA